GATTGCTGCTTAGGTAACAATGCTTGGTTGAAGGGTGGTGCAGGCATGATGGGCCATTTGGACTCACCAACACTGTAACAGTTCTGTGATGAGCATGCCTAGCATCCCTGATTAGCCAATTCTTTTTTGATGTGATTTAATATTGTCACATGTACCTAGTTACAGTGAAAAGTTTTGTTTTGTGTATAGTACAGGCAGATCATACCATACAGAGTGCATTAGGGTAGTAGAACACAGCAAGGAATACAATGTTACAGCAGAGAAGGCACACAAAGAGCAAGATCAACATGAAATTTAAAATTTGAGAGGTCCATTCAGAAGTCTGATAACATCAGGGAAGAGGCTGTTCATGAACCTGTTGGTACATGTGTTTAAGCTTTTGTATCTTCTGCCTGATGGAAGAGGGTGTAATAGAGTAGAACCGGGGTAGGAGAGGTCTTTGATGATGTTGGCCACCTTTCCAAGGCAGCAAGAGGTATAGGTGAAGTCAATGGATGGGAAGTTGGCTTGAATGATGGACTGGGCTCTGTTCACAACTGCCTGTAGTGTCTTACAGTCCTGGGCACAACAGTTACTCATACTCATAGAATCCCTACAGTGTAGAAGCAGGCCATTCAGCCCATTGAGTCCACAACGACCCTCTGAAGGGCACCCCACCCAGACCCACATCCCTACCCCATCCCTGTAATCCTGCATTTCCCATGGCTGACCCACCTAGCCTGCACATCCCTGAACACAATGGGCAACTTAGCATGGCCAATGAACCTTAACCTGCACATCTTTGGACTGTGGGAGGAAACCAGAGCACCCGGAGGAAACCCACACAGACACGGGGAGGATGTGCAAACTCCACACAGACAGCTGCCCGAGGGTGGGAATCGAACCCGGGTCCTCAGTGAAGTGAGGCAGCAGTGCCAACTGCTGCTGCCATAACAAGCCATGATGCATCTCGATAGAATGCTTTCCACGGTGCATCTATAACAATTGGTAAGAGTCTTCTGCACAGATCACCATTTGGTTATCGCCTCCTGACAAGTGTGTGGGGGCCAAGACCCTCATTTACCACCGACCTCCAATTCCTGAACCCCCTATCAAATGGAAAACTTTGCCAGGGGAGAATGTGCCTCTTGTTGTCGGGCCCACACTGAGGTTGGAATGCTGAAGTCTAGTCTCTCGGTGAACATCCTGTGCGAAATACCCAGTGCCTCACTCTCCATCCATATCTCAGCGGGCCTAGCTCATCTCTTCCTCCCGCACCCTCAAACTTGGGCCTTCTGATGAGGTTGGGCCTCCAACTCTGCCAGTCGGGCCTTCCACCTGGTCTGTCGAGCCAGACCACAGAATGGACTCCTCAGTGTTTACGTTCTGTTCTCTGTGATCCTGTACCCTGCCCTGACATGCAAAAAGTATAAACTGTTGTAAACTTTGCAATTAAAGGACTGGGGGAGGTGGGGGGAAGATTGCGAAGGAAGGAAGGAAATTAGAGTGTGTTTTTACTCAGCCCGTGTAAGGATTTTCTCACTGCATTAAGGTGAGATCCGAAGACCCCCTTTAAATAGGAAATGTAGCGCACGCGTGAGTTGCCTGTGGCGCTCTCTCTCATGCTGTGTATCGAAGAGTTTAGGAAGTTTGTCTCATTTAGAACTTTAAAAGCCTTCTTTGGGGAATTAAGAATTCACACATCTGTCAATGATTTCTGGAGCTTTGGATAGCACGAGGGCCCAGACGGATTTTTTTTTCTTTGCATAGTGCTTAATTGTGAGGCTTACTGACATCGTGAGTGAAATTAAAGTTACGCAGGAACAAGGCTTTTATTTTAAGCTGCAATTTTATACGTCCAATACAGAAATCAATCTCTTAATGCCCCATTATCGGATATCAGAGTGGGAGGGGGTGAGGCAGAAGGCAAAGTAATGTTGCTCAGTTGGCATGTGACATTTACACCCGACGCCATCTGCTGCAGTGCTAGTTTGAACTTATGGTGGGCAATTAAACTGTCAGGAAGGAGTCTGTACAGACTTGCACTCATAACAACAACAGCACTTGCCCTGGATAATGCAATCTGCGCCAGAATATGTCTAAGAAACAGAAAATGCTTCACGTTTACCTCTAGTCCGTTTACAGCCGAGAAGAGAGAGCGAGATGTTTGCCAACACGTGGGTGAATACTGAACCTGAAATCTTTACTTTCCAATGCTCTCTTCCATGTCTTTCAGAATTCCTAACATAGGAACCAGGGAATCCGGCCTTTTGAGCCTACTCACCATTCTGCTGGAATCATAGAAACTCGGAGTGGGAGTAGGCCTTTCAGCCCTCTGAGCCTGCTCCACCATTCTGTATGGCCATGACTGATCCTTTATCTCAATGCTACATTCTCGCTTTCTCCCCATTCTCCTATCTTCCTGTCTTTGTTCACAATCCCTTATTACCTGTGCCCAACCGATGTGCAGGCATCACCATCTCAGGATGTGGGATAACCCTTATCGGACTGAGATGAGGAGAAGTGTCTTCACCCAGAGAGTCGAGGGCCTGTAGAATTAACAACCAAAGAAAACAGTTGGGGCCAAAACATCGAATGTTTTCAAGAAGAAGATATATACAGTTATTGGGGTTCAAGGGATCAGAGGGTATGGGGGAGACGTTGGGAACAGGGGACTGAGTTGGATGATCGGCCATGATCAGATTGAGTGACAGAGCAGGCTCAAAGGGCTGAATGGCCTCCTCCTACCCTTAATTCTTTTGTACCTGGGGTGTCTACCCTGTAGAAGGCCTTCCAACATTTTAAACGCCAGATCAACCTCTCAGTCTTCTGTACCCTGAGGATTTGGCACAACGTTTTGGAACCCACCCGTGAAATTTCACCCTTTTAGCCCCAGTGTCATTCTGATGAATCTGTTCTGGACCCCGTGCATGCTCAGTATGAGAAAGATCGTGAACGAGTCAAGATGTAATTCACCATAGCAAGGTGAAAACCAAATACACCCAACAGCCTGATGGTAACCTATAACAACTAACAGTGGGGATCGCAGATGATTGGAGATTTTACTCCCAAACTGAAGGGGGTACTATTGCTCCTTGGTGGACCAACTTACCTCCCAACTGTGATCAATTTACATCTGATTGAGTCTGGTTAACCCTGGTTAGACCCCCACCCCACCTTGGAGTAATATGATCAGATCTGGGCACCACACCTTGGGAAGAATATATTGGCCTTGGAGGAAGTACAACATTGGTTTACAAGAATGATATTGGGACTTCAGGGATTAAGTTATGAAGGGAGGTTATATGCATTAGGCCTGTTTTCTCTAGCATTTCGAAGGTTGAGGGGTTATCAGATGAAAGTCTTTAAGATATTTAAGAGGGACCTGGATGGTTACATGAATAGGGAGGGAATAGAAGGATACGGACTGAATAAGAGCAAAAGGTTTGTTTTTTAGATTAGTCAGGGCGTGATGATCAGCACAGGCTTGGAGGGCCAAAAGGCCTGTTCCTGTGCTGTACTTCTCTTTGTTCTTTGTATTAGACAGGGTACATAAAAATAAACTATTTCCACTGCCTGGGGATGCGAGAACAAGGGGTCATTATCTGAGAATTTGGGTCAAACTGTTCAGGAGAGATGCTAGGAAGCATTTCTACACACAGTGTGGCAGAGGTTTGGAACTCTCTTCACAAATCCCAGTGGATGAGTTGTTAATTTTAAATCTGAGATAGTTTTTTTCTTAATTAAGCAAAGGTATTGAGGGATATGGGCCAAATGGAATTAGGTTATGACCTCATTAAATGGCAGAACAGGCCTGAGGGGCTGAATGGCCTACTCCTGTTCCTTTCTGAGTCTGAGTAACAAACAAGATTAACTTGCTAAGTGATTAGAAGAGTTTATAGTTTTCCTTTTTTTAAAAATTCTAGACTATATCTGTATGCATATTCAAATGAACTTTTGAGAAAAGTATATTGAAGACTCAGTTCTTCAAAATTCTGTTTGTCAAGTGGTTCACAAAGATGTAGAACTCTTGTTGTCCTCCCTGACAATATTTTCTGCTTGATAATTTAGGCAGACAGTCAGATACAAGGCCTCACTGTGGTTTAATTTTACTCTAACTATTACAAAAGATCTTCAAACCCATATTCAATCATCTACAGTTTTAAAATAAACACTCAGTTTCCTTCTTACTTACCTACTGGCTTGGTACCAAATAGAATGATTGATAGATTGGTGAAAATCTAAGATTTCTAAAGGTTTACAAGACAGCCTGAGTTTATTCAGTGAGTTTTATTTTGAAAACAAAAGCTGTCAGTTAGAAGCTTTTGGCCCTTATAAAGTGTCTCTTTTTCAAAAAAATACTGGCTCCTTCTCCTTACGTCTTTCAGATATTTCACAAAGCCTACTTATTTGACAAAGCTTTTTGTCAACTTCTCTAGTAGCATCCACTCTGTGGTTTGATACCAAACTTTGTGTTATAGTTCTCCCGAGATATACTGTGTGATGTCTGATTATGCTGAACGTGTTGTATAAAGACACATTATTGCTGTTTAATGGGGTGGGGGAGGCAATGCATCGACCCCCGTTTAATTTCTCCTTCCTTTTGCTGCCCCAGGACTAAACTGGAGGTTTTGTATAAGGGAACTGAGATTCACATCATTGGCATCGAGAAGCCTGTTGGCATGGAAAGGAATTACCCATTGATTCTCAACCCTCGTGGAAATGAAGTTCCTGCTTGGAGAGTTAGACTAGAAGAATTCACGTAGGACCGGGAACCTGATGTGAGGGTGTAACAGCACTGGGCTTGTAGCAGGCAACATTGAGCTGAATCTTTGCTGTGCTCAGGGAGGGATAGGAAATGACGAGTGGTTCCCTTCACCCATCCTTTCAAACCTAGCAACCAGTTACCTAGGGCAGCTGGCAAGAATTCTTTGCGATAGCCATTGCTGGCTAGTTGACAGGAGGCGTTACAAGCTTAAACATTCTGATGTTGTTTTCTCTTTCCCGTCCTCCACTTACAGATAAAGCTGTGGAGTAAATATAAAGTGACCAACGTTCCAACATTAATTTTCATAGAAGGCAGCACGGGAAGAATCGTCAGCAGAAACGGCCACCTGATTATCCGGGATGATCCTCTAGGTAGGAATTACAGTCTCGTTACCACCCAGCCCTCACTGTTTCAGACAGCCGCGCGTGCGTGCGTGCACTGAAAAATACCTCGCTCCCCGGTACGTTTTGTAACCGCACTAACCAACCTGTTAACTCGAACAGGGTCCGAGTTTCCCTGGGGCTCCAAGTCCTTTGCCGAGGTGATGGCTGGATCACTGATCAAGAACAATGGGCAGGTAGTGGACAACAGTGCGCTGGATGGCAGCTATGTTGGCATCTACTTCTCCGCACACTGGGTAAGGCCGGAATCCACCGTCTCCTGCTGTTGAGATAGTGGCTGGATTTGGATTCTTTTTCCCCACTTTTCTTTTCGTTTCAGTTTCCTCCTGAAGGTGTTGACTTGTTTTGGGGTCCCCAGACTGGTCACCTTTCGTGACTGAAAACAACCAATGCTGGAGATGACGGCGGGTCACGCAGCATCCATGGAGAGAGAGCAAGCTAATGTTTCGAATCTAGACAACTCTTCATCAAAGGATCCTGACCCGAAAGGTCAACTTTCCTGCTCCTCTGATGCTGCCTGGCCTGTTGCGTTCCTCCAGCTCCACACTGTGTTAACTCTCTGATTAACGGTCATCTGGACTCAAAACGTTAGCCTGCTCTCTCTCCACGGATGCTGCGTGACTCCCTGTGACCTCCAGCATTTGTTGATTTCAGCAGAGATTCCAGCATTGGCAGTAATTTGCTCTTAACATGGTCACCCTTCACGATTGAGTCCAGATCATGGATATTACTCACTTTGGCTGGTGGTGAGCTTCACATTCAAACCTTGACTCATCTGTGTGAAAAGATTGTCCAGCACATCTCTCTGTAATAAACCACTGTTACTGTATGACGATCAGATCAACACTGGCCCAAACCCCAGGCTGCTGCCAATATTCCATTCACTCTCAGGGTTTTGGGTCATTCCTTTCGACTCGTTCAGACCAGCTTTTTCCAAGGCACAGGAGAGGGCTCTCAAATGGGGGCAGGAAAATCCCTCAATTGTTTTATTCCTCCTCCCTTAAATCCTGGGAGACAAAGGATAATTGTCAATCCTGTTTCGCTATCATTAAAGGACACAAATGCATGTCGATAATGTTTCAGAGACAGTAGGAACTGCAGATGCTGGAGAATCTGAGATAACAAGGTGTAGAGCTGGATGAACACAGCAGGCCAAGCAGCATCAGAGGAGCAGGAAAGCTGACGTTTTGGGCTAGACC